TCCTCTCAGCCTTCTCTTCTCCAGACTAAACAGGCCCAACTCGCTTAGTCTTTCCTTGTATGACAAATGCTCCAGTCCCTACGCTGGACCCTCTTTAGAAGCCCCATGTCCTTCTTGTACTGGGCAGCCCAGAACTGCTCCCAGTACTCCAGATGTGGCCTCACCAGAGCTGAGTAGAGGGGCAGGATCCCCTCCCTCGACCTGCTGGCAACGCTCCTCCTGATGCAGGCCAGGATCCCATTGGCCTTCTTGGCCATGAGGGCACACTGCTGCCTCAAGGTTAACCTGTTGTCAACCAGGTTGACTCCCAAATCCCTCTCCACAGAGCTGCTTTCCAGCAGGTGATGTCCATGGATATCCTGTTACCAGCCCATGCAATGGTAGCCTGTTTATCCACAGAAAAGCTTCCCAAAGCTTTCTTAACAACTCAATTTAAGCTTGAGGAAATGATCAACTCTTCCTGCCCTGCCCTTGGAGGCTGCCAAAAGACTCCCAATTAATGTCAATTGTGATAATGTCTCTATTTGCATTTTTACGCTATTATTAGCAAATTGTCAGTCAGCCAGTAATTTGTATCACTTTGGTAATAATGAGTATTTAAATATTTAAAAAGAGAACATTCCTTGCTACCACCCCCTTCCTTTTTGTGCTAAAATAATAATGGTTTTAATCAAAAGTAATTTGTATTAATATACATTTTGCGCCAGGTGTTAAGAGCAGTCTTCAAGAACAGTGGTGAAAGATGTTAAATGGGATGGCTTCTTAATATAGACTGATAATATAATGTGGGCTTCCTGTATTCTTGACAGTACCAGGACATTTTGACTCTCCCTTGCCTCCTGCAGGATGACTATGCAGTAGAAATTCAGGTAAATTCCAAGAATGTATCTAGGGTTAGAAACTTTCTAAAAGCCTAATTTGGACTCATGGCCCATCCTCTTCAGACTGAAAATATCTATTAACCATCTCCTGGAAAAAATGACACAAGACGTGGCTGCAGTTAGTCTGGAACAGGCAAGAGGCTACGCTTGTCGAATCAGCCAGCCAGCTATACGGTGCCGTCGTATCACCAACGACTTTTGGTGTAACATGTTTCCTGATGAAGTGGTTGATTCTGGATTCACAAGTACGTGCAGTCCATAACTACTCATCCTCACACAGAGCCCTCAAAACATTTGTAGAAATAGGAAATCTGCTTTCCATGTTTAAATGATATACTGCATTTTATAATGTACATGAAAAAAAACTTATTGTGGGGGGTGAGGATGGGGACAGGTAAGGTCTAAACCTATCTATGCATGCGACTTACCTCTAGGATTCATAGTAAAACAGCAAACCCACAAAATCCTAGAATATGTGTGTGTTAATGGTATGGTTATGGCAAAAGTGAAAAAAAAATCCAACAACTTTAGAGGTAAAATTAATATTTCTCATACCACAGTCTAGCACTGTCTTCTATCTTCCTTAGAAATGCCTTTCTATATTTGTTCTAACTCATATTTCTCTTTAATATAGCTGTATATAAGTTATTTTCAAATGTAATTCTGACTGATAGCACTTAAGTCTCAGCCACGCAGTGGAGGCAGTTCTGCAAAATATAGCCAAGGTTAATTAAACATTTATTTTCTGCATAGATTCCACCCCCCGCCTCCTCTTCCAACCTAGGATTTAGCAAATTCCCTCCTCCAGAGCTCCTGCAGGAACCATGCCAAGGATGCGTGAAAGAGAAAAGCACAAGAAAAACTGGAAAACTGGAATGAAGTCTTTCCTATAGATTTAAAAAAAAAAAATTGCTTGAACTGACACATTAATATAGACTGCCATCTGCTGGGTATAAAAAATAAAATAAAAGTGCTCCTTAAATAAGCCATCTGAATTGCATCTGAATTCAGATTCATCTTGGCATTCAGATTCACCTAGAGCAAACCCACCTGCTCTCACCTCCCTCAGCCATGTGCTGCAGGTCACTCCTGTAGCAGCAGCCACACATGAGGCCCAGGTCCCACGGGCAGATCCAGCCTGGAAGCTCTTGGAAAACCTCCTACCACCCAGCACCTGGAAGAGACAAGCTACCCTGGCAGCTCAGGGACACTCTGAACTTCTGAAAGTGAAGATACTGTGTCATAAAAATCAGCTGCTGCACTTTATAGGGTTCCCTTCATGGGGAGCCGCCAGGGTAAAAGATGCTAAGTGGGGCTACAAGAAGGGACAGCAGAAATTCAAATTGACCACAACTTTTCCAACTGCCAGTTAATTACAGCCCTACATCAACCAAAATGTACTAATTCCTATGTAAATAAAACTAGCAGGCTCTGAAATACCAACAAAATGGGAAACTCCTGTGATTGATAGCTATTGGGCAGGTAAGAGCTGACCCTGGAAATGGGGAGGCTCTCCAGCACTTCAGCATCACCCTCCTTTGGGAGTGCTCAACAGTGAGGTCAAACACCGGGTTTACCTTGTTTTAATCCCCCCTTGCACAGCTCTTAATTTCAGTTTACTAGGGTCATGCATTACATCTGAGTCTGAGCAAAAAGACTGAGTCCAGCCCTGCAGTCTCAGTACAATTATTTGCTATTACTTTATTTTTCCACTACTTACCATATTTTACTTCAGTTACGAGTGGAAAACCCTCGAACAACGTTAATGAATATTCTAACTCCATTCAGATTCGGAGCTGAGCAATTACCTTCGGAGCAGGCTTTGAAGCACTGCTGCCTGTAACCTCGCTTTCCAGAAGTTTTCTTCAATTTGGTGAAGATGTCACCCTGTACAGATGCATCCTAAGACTTTTCACCCTAAAGGTCTTCCATACAGAGAATCTCCATATTCTCTTAAATAAAACAGGCTAATTTTATACTTTGCTACAATTTCTTTGAAAGAGTCCAAAAATCCAATCAATACAGAAGTAAAACCATGTTCTATTTTAACCATTTTTAAGAGCCTTACACTTTCTCCCCCAGCAATTCTGCCAGGGAGTTACCATTCCCCGCCAGGTGGACCACAGCCTTTAAGCCCCCCATGCCTGCCCCCCCACACACATGTGCACAAGCACATGCACTACTCTTAACCAGGCTGCCCAAGTAGCCCAGCTTCCTTCGGAGGCTGCCACGGCAGGAAAAAAGGAAGAATGGAAACCAGAGAGTGTCACATGCTGCCCTTGCACCCCATCTCCTCCCATGACAAACTACATGTAAGCCTGTCCGCAGCTACACAGATCAACCAAAGCAGCTGTGGTCTCAAAACAAACTAGAAGAAAACAGCCACAGAGCTTCACAAAGTCATAAGGGGCTGCTGAAGTCAAACCCACACATGGTGCAGGAATGACTAAATAGGTTTCCACTCCTAACCTAAACTTACCTCCAAAAAAAAAACAAAGCCAGCAAACATTATTTTCTCTCTACAAATTAGTAAAAAGCTAAAGTCGTTAGCATTGCAAGTATAGGATCATGCCTCATTACTTAAATTATTAGGAATTATGAAAGAAATTAAGGTGGCTTTTACTTAGTATTTGGCTTTTCCACAGTATAATTTTTCCCCAAACAGCCTGGTACCTACATCAGTATCTATGAGGCACTATTCTTCCTCTAATCAAAACATACTTTGGTCCTCCAGAGAAAACCTAGGACCACGTGCACATAGCCCTGCAGGTCAGGAAGTCTGCAGGAACACAACCTTTTATCATCTATCTGCAAGTAACCGCCGTGCCTGTGTTTATGTCAACATACAGCCCCAAGTAAAGCTAGATAGTTCACAAGGTCAGTTCATAGGCCCCAGGGCACTGCTAAGAGTTTTCTATAAGATATCTGAAATAGAGATTCAAATGCAGCATAGAAAGCAATAAACAATCACTCATTTTGTGAAGATCTTTAACCAGGATTGGTTATATTTTATCTTTTAAATAGCAAAAGCAATTGACTTTAGTTTCCAAGATAAGAGGAAAATTAAACTAGATTAACATGATTTTCATGAAGACAGTAATGTCTACAGCATTCATGTACATTTTTAAACCATCCTTATGTTTCAGTTACACTTATAAAAGCAGGCTTTGCCCCTAATGATTTAATAAAAAAAGTGTCATGGGTAAAAAGATTTTATTTTTTTCCTCCAGGATATTAAAAATTCTCGCAAAAAAACTCTTTTTTCATTCTTTCAAGAAAGGTGTCCATTGCCATTGTCTTCGATGGCATTTTGCCTGACTAAAATCTAAGATTAACGGCGCTTTTTCAGCATCAACCTTGCCCACGTGGAGCTGAGCAGTAACTACCTTTCCATCATACAGGTGGAAACACTTATCTTCATAATAAATAAAAAAAATCGAAATATTTAGTCATGAAACTTTCATCAGACTAACACAAATCAAGCAATTAATATTCCATTTTCAAGAATAATAAATAAATTTTAAAAACAAAATCACATATTTAAAAGTTTTAACAAAGACATAACTGGGCTTCTCTTGTCTGTTCTGCTCTTTGGTAACAGTCTCAATATTTTTAGATTAGGGATATATTTATAATAGCAAAAAAAATAGCAAAAAAAGCCAGCTGATGGTTTTACAGTAATGAATAGGATTCTCATTATTAAATCAAGTACCACCTCTAAATCAAGTACCACCTTGCACCACCACCACCACCACTATAACCTCTAGTAAGCACCTCTGCACAATTTTATTTGTATATATACACCCATCTAAATACTTTTTGAAAAACAGGGCACGGTTCATAGGAATTATTAGAAAGTTACTCAGAGCAGAATAATAGACACAGCCTCTCTGAATCCTAAAGCCAGGCACACAAATGCACTAAGCAGACAGGGCACAATTTCCTTTCGCAGAGAGGGCCTGCAGCAATTTGCATCACTTAACCTTATTCAAGCACATTAAAATACATTAAATGACCACAGGACAAGTGAATACAATCAAGGTCATGAAGTTTCTAGTCCATATAGAATTTTTCCAAGTATTTCCCAAATATTTTGGTACAGCAAGGTTGTTTTTGCAGTAGTATACTAACCACAGGGAGCTCCGATTTCCAAAAACATTGTCAAAACACATCTTAAATACCATTTAAAGCTTTAGGTTTGCATAATCTGATTTTTTTTAAAGCAGAGTGCGTTCAAATTGCTTGCAGCACTTCCCTTTGGGGAATTATTTCACAAGCCTATTCCTGGGCAGCCGACTTGTAGTGCTTCAGCGTGCGAGCGGAAGGGTCGGTGGCTTTAATCCATCTCGGCATCCAGTAGTGGGGCAGCCAGCTGCTCTGCCCTGGGTAATGCTTTTCAAAGATCTGGCGGTAGTAATAACTTTCTTTGGTTTTAGGAGGATTGAAAGGATATTTCTCTGCTGCCTTTTCCAACAAGAGGTCGTCAACCTAAAGACATGAGCAAAATTCAAATCAGTCATCTCAGCGTACAAAGATTCAACACTGAATGGTTGTAGGTTTAAATAAATATTAAAAAAAATAGTAAAAGCACCCCACAACTTCTGAAACCTTATAGCAGTCTTCTGTCAGGCAAGTAGTTTCCTTTTTTGTGCTTTGTTTTTGCAGCTGAGAGCTGATGCCACTGCTGGTATAACCAAGCTCCTAATAACAGGACATGAGGATGCAGGGGTAAAACACACAAAATGACTAAGAAAGGGAGGATGGAAAGTTTTACCAGCTAAGGTAACTTCTAAAGTAGCTTCCATAACCAACATGTTATCTGACCTTCCACAGCCAAACAAATTTGCCCCTACTCCACCAATACATGGGATCAGCAGGAGCAGCACACACTGGCAGCAGGACAGAGGGACATGTCCACAGGCCCTGTTAGAAGTGCTCTGGTGTAAAATGAGTGTTATTCCTGCCTCTCAGTGATTCAACTACCTCTACACACACACAGGAGATGATTATCCTTTGTTCAAAGCCAAAACACTGCACGTTTCCACTGGCTAGCCATGCAGAGAGAGGCTTTAGGAAAAGGACTTAGTAAGCGGCTGGGAAAAACGAAATATATAAACAAGTACATGATAAAGTCATTATATTGCTACTCAGCCACAAGGTTCATGCCAGTGCCTTCAGCTGAAGCTGCCACTTTGTATGTAACCCAGAAATTGTGTTTCCCTTGACAGAATCTAATTTGCAATCGAGTACTTAAAGGATGTTCATTTCCTTACACATGCATTTTTGTCAGGCTCTGGTATTTCTTTGTATCTACTATTTCAAATGCCTTCAAACAGCTCAGATAGCTGCACAACTGCTGCTTAAAATTCATCTCGCTCTTCCACCACAAACCTCAAGTTCTGCCAATACCCAGATTTATTCTCCCAAAGTAAACGATCTTGCTCCTTGTAAGCAGTATCTCAATACAGCTGAATATGAAAGACAAAAAGGCTGGGATATTATACCTGCTGATCAATATAGTCCTGAAGAATAGAAAACCAGGATTTCTTTACAGATGTTATGCCGTCACTGAAAGCTTCTTTGGGTCTCCACAGTATTTCTTTGGGAAGCAAGTTGGAATCCTCAAAGGACTGTCTTAAAAGATATTTTTCAATTCCATTCTGTTTGGAAAACAACAAATAATGTCATGGGCCTTAAGAACTACAGCACAGTGATCTTGCTTTCAACACTGTATGAAGAAACAGATTTCTTTCAGCAGTCCGTTCAGAAAAGATTGCCCAGAAGTCCAACAATTTAGCAAGACAGCTTGAAACACGCTTAATCTTAAGCACAACCATCGTAACAACATAAGTCTTAGGTACAACATGCATCGGTTCATTTGTAATTTGGGTCCTACCCTAGGTTTGCCTACCTTTGGGATTCGCATTTCTGCTGGTAGAGATAAGTAGTAGGAAGTAAATCGGTGATCCAAAAATGGGACTCTCAGTTCAAGACTAAACAGGGAAAAAGAACAGAGGACACACTGAATTAAATCAGCAAGTCGAACACTTTAAATTCTGTAACACTTACATTTTCCTGTCTTTCATATAACATACAGCTTTCTGCCTTTACCCTGAAGATTAGCTTACATATCCATAACTATCTCCAATTAATTCATCATGTTGGAAAGTTAAATATATCGTCTCTGATTTATTAACTGAAGATCTCAAGTGACTTATGATGCCATCTGCTGGACAGCTTATCATAGAATGAATTGAAACACTACAGTCATTTTTCAGAATTTGCAAGATCTGTTGCTCCACATAAACATATTGAGAAATCCTGTTATCCCCAGAGAACTACCAAAAATCTGTAGGCTGCCCACTGGGATTTGCATCAGCTTTTGGAAAGATGGTCCAGGCCAGTGTGCTGTCACTTCTGATATCCCCGTTTACTCATGTGTTCAAAAAGGGAGACCATTCCCACATGGCCACCACTAAAGCTGTTCCCTACCCATTCTGCAGGACTTGCACAAGTTCCCTCCTATGCCAGTGGCAGATGTGCATGCACAAAATATTTTTGCTTGCATTCTCAGACATACCAGTGCTTCCAAGGACACTGAAGGCCCCAAATAAATTCCCAATAACTACACTTTGTTAGAAGAACCCCTAAAGTATGTTTCCTCAAGAGATGTTATGCTACCCTGGCTTTAAAGAGAAACGTTTATTCACTGAAGTCGACAGTAGGTTTTATACTGCATTCTAAAAATGGTATCACCTCTGATAAAAAGCATCAATCACTTCAGGAAATGCACATCTTAAAAGAAACAAACCAAATCAAAACACCAGTTTTGTGTAGGCATCAACTTCCTTCACATCTATACCCAGATTTTCATCAATATTCTCTTTTTACCCCATGGAGTCCTGTAGTAAATGGAGTACATTTTCTGCGGTGTACATGTACTAATTCTTTAAATTAACAATCACACAAACTGCATCCTAATACCTCTGTATTACAGTCAACTCCCCAACTGAATATATGTATTTTTCTCTTTTAGTATCTGCTTTTTAAATTTTTTTCATATATACACTGATTATCAGACCCTTGAAACGCACATTCAAGGTTGGTCTTCGTCAAAACTTCAAAAAACCAAAAAGCCTCCCCCGCTTTGTCTTTCTGCCTTAGCTCTGCACACTAATGTTTCTAATTCACTGCTTCCATAAAGACCATGACAACTCTAGACAAGAGATTTCCTGCATAAGTGGCAGCACAGCAGTCTGTACAATCATAGAAGACAGCATCCAAATTCACAGTGTGGTTTTCTGTTGCTCAGATTCCCCCAGGTTACATCTCCAATTCCATCTTGGCATACAAACCTACAGCAGTCTTTTGCTTTTGAACAAAGAGTTACAGTAAGCAGATATGACTAGACACAAATCTTATTTCCTGCCCCACCTTACTGCTAAGAAATGGCACCCAAATACACCGTCTTTGCTCACTTGCCAAAACATTTTCTTTGGTAAGATATTGGTTGTATGTACCAGCTTCTCTAGCAGGTTTGTCTAGCAATGTTCAGAGCAGAAATGTGATTGATGACCACTCTGAAGACCAGATCTGTGTGTCCTGTAGACTCTCACACCTTGTCTCACACCCAGTGCTGAACACCAACATATATCTGTAGCATTAGCGGTTTGTTTTGCTATAGGGGGTGGTGTCTCAAGCTCTACTAGATATCAAGCTCAAGCACAACATGGGGTCTAAAGACTGATGGTCCTCCTAGAATCGTCTAGGCCTAGTCAGTAGGTATAAAATTATCCTGCATCACAATGTTCTGATGTGTTGTAATGTGGCAGTAGGACTTTTAAGATCCACTTCGGCTCTTTAAACACACGTGACCTCCAAGAGCATCCAAGAGACTGTACTTTACCCATGGGCTGCAGTAGTCCTGTCTGCACGAAGCACGTCGAACAGGTAGAGCTCCTTCAGGAGCCTCTCACTTTCTTCTGCAGCATCTTCAGGTGAGGGGGCCTGAAACCATAAATGCAGCACACAGATTAATACAGCTGCATGGAGGGAACAGCTACTTGCTGCCCTGCATATGAAGCTGTAATGATCTCTACACAGGGATCTAGTGACAAACCTAAGCATGCCAAGTGAGTCTTGGAGCCGAGGAAAATACATGCAACTGGATTAGTGGGAGGCTCCCTGCCACCTGCTTACACAGGCACACGAAATCTTCTCAGACACAACGCAAGCTATAAACTGTTCATGTGCCTTGGCAAACACAATCACTCTCGACTGAGAGTTTATAGAAGTCAGTTTTGACCGTGTTCATTTTCAGCAGATTAAGTAGGATCTAAGTGCCTTCACAATTGGGAAACAATACTCACGCCAGCAACAAGAGACCGTAAGTTTGAGGGGAAAAAAGAAAAAAAAAAGTTATTTTTCAAGTGATTACACTGATTCCCTCATATTTTACGCTGGCTCAGAACAATGTGTCAGCAAATATACAGCTGTCAACTCTCAAACTTGACATTTGGAAATCTTAGCAGATTGCGTGGAAAAGAAAAGCAAGGAGTGGGTTCTGAACAAACATGTTTACCTTATGGAAATAGATATATCCTTGTGTCAGCTCATCTGAGCCTTCCCCTGAAAAAATGACCACACTATCCGTTTTCTTGCGTATATATTTGGAGACAAGATACATACCTTAAAAAAAAGTATGAAGTCATTAAAATACAGTTATACACCTGCTTTTATATACAGCTTGTACAGTTTTAATTTACCATTGTAAAATTTTCTTTCCTACCCTACTTTCTTACATAGCAAACTGCACTAAACTAAAATAACATCTCGCTGTTATTTCAAACCATCACTAGACTTACAAACCAAGTACTGCAAATACATGCAAACTGTGCACTTATACTCAGGCATTAAAACAACAGAAAGCCATGTGTGTCCTAGACACTGGGAATGCTGGAGGATTCCTATGGAAACATATCTAAGAGGGTTTGAGTTCTTTTTTGACTCACATACAACTTAAGCACCTGCCCAATACCAGAACAGTTCTGAACAAACCTTCTACCTATGTGGAACAAAAATACCAACACGAGTTGCTGTTTAACTCTCTGCCACTGCATATTGAACCAGATGAGGTACTTTTTTTCCATTCTTTTTTTTAGAATTATTTGTTAATCAGAATTAGCTCTTCCCCTCTTTACCTCCTTCCAAACAGTATGCTGTATTAACAAAGTATTAGAAGTCTTTTGTAAGGGATCTGTTTCGCCATACTTCATACTAAACAACAAAAACATCCAGGAAAGGAAAAATAGAGAAGATAGATACCGGAAAAGCTTATAAGCTTATTTTTCTTAAGCAAACATTATCAATTTCTCATTACAAAGTCCTATCTTAATGTCAAATTCTACCCTGGGACCTGTGCTAGTCTTTTTGAAACTGTCTTGCCTATCGAGAGGACTAACCTGTTTACAGTGTTTTGGGCTGACATGAGAGAAACTGGGCAAAACGCTGTAGTCTGCACTATACAGAAGGTCACGTTAGATTACGGTTTCTCATTCTTATCAGGCTGGCAACCCTCTATAAGAAGCTGCTAGTGACCTGTTTCTTTTCTCAGAATCTAATCTACAGTATAAACTGCCCATTTCACTTGGGCATACATGAGTTAATAGGGAGTAAAAAGAAATACATCACTTAAAATAGTGCAAGAAATATGGTAATCATAACTCTTTTCTCCTGTTGAAACATTCAGTGCCTCCAATACCCTGTAATAAATTCCCCCTTTCCTCCAAGATTTGTACACCCCAGGCCAGAAAACCTAGACTGCTGGTTCTACTGTTCATTTTTTCCTATGCTTGTTTTTCACCCCAAAGCTTCATGAAGAGCTCATGATACTTGTTTTCGGCAACTTTGAAACTAAATATTGTTTTTGCTTCAGTGTAGTACTATACACAAGAACAGGGAACAGAACTTAGGTATGCCAGTTTCCAAGTCCTACCATTAGAGTATGTAAGAGACAACTACATGATTTTGCATAAAATTATATACACATAATATAAAATAAGGTATTACTAAAAAACTTACCAATTGAAGCTCTTACTGTTGTTATATCATATGTTTCCAAAGAGAAGATAACGTCCTCTATTGCCTGAATTCCTTCTTCAGAATTAAATATTACTTCATGATGCTCACTGCCTATGTGCGCGGCCACCTGTTTGTGAAAGATTATGACAATACATTAGCTTTTAATTCAAACATTCTTTAAGTGCGCACACTGTGGGCAGGAATCAGCTCCCTTCTGCTGCAAACACCAAGAATTACACGAAGTGAGGCCGAGTGGCAGCCTCTGTGACTCGCAGTGGTTCTTCCATCCAAGGGAACAGAGTTTTCCCAAGGACACTGTGTTCAGTCCTGGTTGAAATAGCTCGTCCAGGTGACTGTCCAGAGTGTAACAGTCTGCAGGGGCTCTGAGCATGCTTGGTATTTGCTACAAAGGGAAATGCAGTTGAAAAGTCATGCCTGTCTGAATACCCAAATGTGTGCTCAAGAGGATATCTAGGCTTGTACAAGGCTCTTACTAAATTACTGTAATTAACAAATATACAAATGCAAGTATATAAACATAACTTGTCATACTGAGTATATAAGTCCTGGTGATTTACTCTAGTACTCAGAGACTAAACTGACACTACTCTAAAATACACTTCTTTTGACAGCAACAGGAGGGAATCTGTCACACGAAAATCTTCCAAGTGCAAGTGAAGAAAGAAAA